AACTACACTTGAGCCGTGGTGGTTGGTCACCTCCTCGCTGAAATCTCCTTCAGCTGACGTCTACTGTTAGTGCTGCTTTCCTTCCTTCTGCGCTGTTGCGGAATTCGCAGCCGAGCCCAGCACCCACGTTGCTCACAACCATGTCTTCGCAAGCATATAATTTCACGAACTGTACATCCTCGGCTAGGGGCCACTTCCGTAAGAAGGTTGTCCGCAGTTGCCTCGCAGCTTGGGCAGAGCGAGAGGGAAGAACCACAATTTTCACGAACCAGCAACACTTTGAGGGCTTCTGTGCTGTTTCACACCCATCTCCCAAAACAGACGACACCCCCGGAGCGACGACGGAACCAGAGCGCATCTCCCGCCTCTCGACCAACAGCGCTCCGGAGATGTCGAGGTTTAATTGTAGGGTCCCCGATGAAGCTCTGAAACTGATATGAACCGGGCACGCACCGTGAGGCACAGTCTGGCAAGCCTGCCCCGCCGGGCTTCGAGCAACTGCGAGAGATGCCTGGGTGGGCGCCCATAGCTGTCGGGACTTGTTTCATCTTGAAGGATTGGTTAGCAAGCAGGCGAAAGCAGGATGCGGCCTGGTACTGTAGAGGTTCACCGGCAGGACCCCAGTGGAGCGGAGCCACCGTCTTGCTTCCAGTAATCTTGCAAACCATTGCCAAGAGGTGGCTGTACCATCGGGACAAGGCCCTGTACTTTCAGCGCGCCCGGGGCCCGATCTTGTCTGTCTTGTTCCCAGAGTAAGAATACATCTAGCAGCCTTTGTGGAGCTGCAGAGCCGTGCTTAATTATGCTTCAGGAAAGCGGACTTCTGTACTGCCGTGACTCCAACAACGAGCTTTATGAGCTGCACCAAGGTCGGGTGAAAAACACGTTAACAAGATGTCTAGTACACCTTTCCTTACCTTTCCCATCCTTTCCCGCGATCTATTAACATCCCCTCCAATCGCCGCCCAAGCCGCTTTCCCTGCCTGCCCCGGGAAACTCACAGTCCAGCCCATGAATTTCGGGGTACTCGTGTACCTAGACTTTTGCACGATTGCGAACGGCCCCCCCTATGCAGGTGAGGATTATGGCGGCACGTTGACTGTCCGGGGCGATGCAGCCACGGTGTCTGCCAAGGGCCAGGTGGGGTTGTGCGTACTCCCACGGCGCTGTCTAATTGCTTTGCATCGCAGCAGTCACAGATTTCGAGGTCTGGTTGTTTCTCAGCCATACGCAGGAGCTCGTGAAACATCTTTGTATGCTGAGATTGCAGGTGTCGTGAGTTCCCATGATACCTCTCTGAGACAAGATAGTGGCAAGAAAGCCGTTTGATGCGTCGATTTCCAGGCAAGCCGGAATGTCATCATCAATGATCTCCATCGTGCCGCAGCCTCAATGCTACTTGGCATTGCAATCCGTACTCGGTCCGGAGGTGTCATGAAGTGCGATGCGTATGCTCTCCTTTTGCAACATGTGGTTGGGGTGAGGAAGCTGGACTTCAGTCACCATGACAGCCCGGCTGCGATGTTCGCAGTTTACGATGCATCGGCTGGACGTGGGGAGCATGCAGAAGCTGCGGCCAAAGGAGCCGAAGCATTGCCACATCGCTGCTCTACAGCTTGAACATGCTCTAGCACTCGAGCACATAAAGCACATATGTTGTGAAGCTTCCAACTAAGTTCAGCTCTCTTCTCGTGCTTTCCTAAACATGCTTTTGCAGGGTTGCGAGACATCCCGGGCAGGGCTCCACATGCAGCTCCTGCCGCGCCTTGCCGCGTGGCGCGGCCGTTGGCAGAACGACCGTCTACAGGACTGTGCGAGAGTTCGTGAAGACAGAGGTTTTGTGATTGTGGGATGGGACTTGGGATTAGTAGCTCCGTCCTCTGACAGCTTAGTACAGCAGCGGCTGGCTTTGTTGGCTTCCGATCACCCCAAGCGACGGAGCACTTCGGCCGTTGCAAAACTCCCGACCATCCCGACCGAGCAAAGCCACACACTAAACCCATGGAAACTTCAGCAGATCCAGGGCGTGCTCGCGGAGTCCATCGCACAGCTCAGGAGATGCACAGGGACATGAAATTTCGACAAGATGCTTCCTTAGACGGGGTGTCAAGACAGGTGTGCTTGGCGGCTTTAAGGGGCCTTAGTGGACTGTCTATCTTGACGATCATGTGCTAAGTTCAGAGTGAGCCCTTGTCCTCCCTGTTGCTTGCCAACATGTTATGGATCCCAGCTCCAGGCAGGAAATCGCACCTGAAAGGGGTGTTGCCCTGGCAGTGGCGCTCCTGCTTGGCGGACGCCTAACCATGGCCGCAACCGGTGGTGCTATTTGCATGATTTTTGGCCAGGTGGGTCAGTCTGATGGCAACGTGGACAACTTGGAGGTGCTGGGACAAGAGAATGACGACGCGGAGGCGACGACGCACTGTGCTGTCCTAGAGGACAGCCACTTGGGAGCACTTCTGACTGTGAAAGGCGTACGGACTTCTGGCCTGCCGTCGGCAAGAATGCGTGCATTGGCCCGATCGCACGTCATGGCAGATAGACCTCGAGCAGGGTGTGTGGCACTTCTGGAGGAAGCTCGCAAAGTTGGTGGTGAACCTCCCTTAGTGGCGGCTGCAGTGCGATTCAACTGGTCAGGTTCTCGAGGACAAGATCCTGGAAAGCGCCTGAAAACGGATACACCGTCCAATGGCCTCACGAAGGTCCGTTGCAGGCATCTCCTCCTACGGTACGCGGGATGCCAGGCCCTGTTAGGGGACAGGCGGAAGAAGCCTACGCGCACCGTGGGAGATGCTGAAACGCAAATGCTGCACATTCTCCCACAGATTGCCAATGGTGGACCCGCTGCATTCACCGCAAAGTGCAAGGAAATCTCTGAATGTGACACCGCGATGAAAAGTGGGGACCTGCGCCTTCCCTGGCCAGCCATACCTTGTCGCTGTTATTAAATTCTCAACTATTGTGAACACTGAAAGGGGTTGCGAGGCTGAGCGCACGCGATCAAGAGCCTTGCGTAAACCCAAAACCGAGGGGAAGGGCTGGAGCTTCAAAACCTAACACTGGGCCTGCGGGCAAGTCCATTTGGGGTCTAGGGTCTCGGGGGTGCAGCTGGGACTCGACAGCTAGGAGAGTTAGAGTCGATCTGCCTTGGACTTAGGGCCGGCGACTTGGGCTGGCTCGACAGAGATCCGGCGAAAAACCGGAAGGTGCCAGCTGCTGTGGTTCGGGCCGCCTTCTTCCTCGCAGTGGGGCAGGTGAGTGATCTGGTATCATCTGAGCGTGGGATACATCTCATTCTCAGGACTGCCTGACAGCCCAATTAATGTTCGCACAGGCTGGAAAAGACACGGCCTGTGTTGTGGTGTGCTTTGCTGTTTGTTGGTGTTTGGTGGGATGTGGTGTTTCCGGAGAACGGAGCACTAGAGAGTTCCAAGCCATGGGCTGATGATGCTGATATTCTGCGGCTCTGCTTTGAGGCACGGCTTACCGGAAGTGGCGCGGGGCGCCACTCGGAGTCCCAACTCTTTCGCCGAACGGTGGAATCGCAGCAGTGTGGTAGCAGTGTGTTTGTTGCACACATCGCCATGTGTCACTCTGTGTCACTAACGACGTGTCACGTCGTGTCCTCGCTCCTCTGCTCGGCCGCCTCCGCCTCAAAGGCCGTCGTCCTGTCCTCGGCATTCTCAGTGATGGTGTCCACGGCAGGAGAGCCCAAGCCCGTCAGCCCGTCCCGTCCCCTTTTGCTGGCGAGTCTCGATCTCTCTGGCAGGACTCGCACTTCTGCGAGGTGTGGACCGCAGTCAGCAAGCATCAGCAAGCCAGGAAGTGCGGAGACTTGTTGACCGCTCTTGTGCCCGAAGCGCCACTGCAGACCAACTAGAGAGGTGAAAGGCATCTCGAGCACCATGTGCGCTTGATTGCACCTGAAGCGCAAGCCCCAAGTCGCACACTTTCAGGCACAAGACCGAGCGAAGTAGAACGTTTCCGGCATCAGCTCGTCTCGATCTCGGCAACAAAGCTTGATGCCTGGACGGTACCCAAGCTCCACCTGAGGATGTTGGATCTCCAGTTCAGCAGTGGATGCTTTGGAATGTGCTTGGCGTTCGGCTGGCCCGTTGACTTCTTCTGGTTTCATGCATTCTGCAAAGTTCTGGAATTGACCATCTGGTTGTGCATTGCGGCAAGAGAGTAACTTGAGCGCGCTGAATCCACTTCTTGCTGATGTCTTAATACTTCTTCTTCTAATCTCAATTTTAATTTCGGCAACGGTCATGGACATCGGCCGGAGTGCCGAGTCTATCAATCCCACAGTCTCGCGAGTTTGCCGGGTCTAGGGTACACAGTCGAAGAGATCCGAAAGGTTTGCGAGCTGCCTTCTCGGGGATCTACTTGTAGTAGTGGTTGTCGAAGCCAATTACTCAGTCTGATGTCTGTAGCCCTCTCGAATCCTGATGATAAGATGGTCACCCGTCTGTTGTCAGGTGTTCGGCGCCTTGCTGCTATACATAGGCCACCACTTGCGGGACGCGCAGTGCATCGGGCTGCTTCTGAAGTGAGACGCACATCCTGCAGCCAGAAACTGCACGTGCGTACGTACGGTCGTACATATGTACGTACACACAGACACAGACACAGACACAGACACACACACACACACACAAACCGTCTCTCTCTCTCTCTCTCTCTCTCTCTCTCTCTCTCTCTCTCTCTCACACACAACCAACAAGCATGCCATCTCACACACACACACACACACCAAAACACACACACAGCATCACACATCATCACACACCATCACACACCATCAAACATCATCACACGCCATCACACACCATCACAAACGATCACACACCATCACACACCAACACACGCGGCAACACGCACACACGCACGATGCAAACGCGCACCAGCAGCAGTTTATGCATGCGTTGATGCCTGTAATGTGTATACAATGTCTGGTTCGTGCATCCTTCACAGGCCTCGTCCTCGGTTCCATACCTATGCTGATGGGTGTGTCCGCAGACGATGAGGGAAAGGCCGCTCGGTTCACCAAAGGTGTGTTGGGCAGCCCATGTTCGGCATGTTTTGCACATGTATGTTTGTCACATTCACCCTCACTGCTATGTTTGTACATTTCAGCATGTTGGCACCTGCAAATTGTGTTTGCTCCAGGCGGCAGCTATTGTTCAACAAAGCCTTGTGCTTGCCTGCTGGATGGCAGAACGTTATTTGGTAGAAGGCCAGGCTATCCGGGCAGTTTGCTGCACACCAGACCATTCTTCAACAAATTGCCCGTTCTGAGCCGTGCCAATATGATGTGATTCGGGTTGGGTAACGGGTAGAGTCTACTTTGCTCGCATGCCGCAATCGAGTTTTGCCACAGGCCGCCCTCTACCGTTGCTCCAAAGCTTGCTGTGCGCTTTGACACTTGGCCCAAACCGCTCGGCTCAGGGGTGACAACAATGTTTTGGTCTCTGGTCTCGAGTACACGTCTGGTGAGTGGCATGATGCTTTGGCAGCCTTGGAGCTACAGGGGGAAGCGACTCGACTGTGTTCCATTTGAGGATTTGGTTTGGCTCGACGGCCTCTTTGCTGCATGATGCAGTGACTGAGACTGACGTATTCGTGGCTTTGCAAGGTTGTCGAATGGGCCGGGCAGGGTCCTGAGATTGTCGTTGTAGACAACATGCAGCCGTGAGCATTCACCTGAAGGCCTCGTCCTTACGACAACATGAGTTTGGGGCTGCCTGGGCAGATCGCAGGCTCGTTCGTGCCATGTCGTGTGCCGTAGTCCACGTCCAACGCTCGGAGGCTGCGATGGGGGTTACCGATCTCCGTTTCTGATTTATGCATCTGTGTGGCTGACTGGGCGCGGCCGGCAAAGTTCGACGGCTGTTGAGAGTGCACAGCCTGTTGATTCGTTGCTGCTGTGCTGCTGGCAGCCTCACCTTTGGCACGCTCCTTTTGTTCTGCGAGGAAGGTACGCGCCACTCCCGGCTGCATGGGGGGTTCTGACACAAACGATATGCTTCGCTGGTGCTTGCAGAGCTGACTTTTGAGCCGGTGGATTCGACTAGCTCCTTCAAAAGCTGAGTGGTTACAGTAGCAGTGTGGTAGCTTTACAGCACCCTAAAGAAGCAAACTGTTTGGAGCTGTTTGATGGAGTGAGCAAAGGCGACAGGCAGCCAAAGCAGTGACCGAAAGCATCGTGGAACTTCATTTGGACCCACGAGAGTGCCAGAGTGCCAAGGCTCCAGGCCAAATGTCGTGAGGACAAGGTTTGCTTCAAGGAAAGACTGCGCGTACTATCGACTCCGATGTAAAGACCGTGTCCTGGGCAGGCACGAGCCTCGTCACGTGTATAGATCCGAGTGACGACGAGGCTGGACTTTGCAGGGACGCAGCATTGCTTAGCAAAGAGTCTAAGTTTATGTCCACTTCAAACTTTGTCAGTGCTCGGGCAGGCGACGGTGCCTCCCGACCCTGAGCAGGAGCTTAAGATGCGGGCAGCACCGTTATTGATTGCTCAGCTGCCACTTCAATGACGTGCTAGTCCCGCTCCCTACCGCCGATATTTGCCCCGCGATCGATCGATAAACACAGTTTGGTCACCAAAATCTGTGGGTGGATCTAAGACGACATGTCCAGGGCTTAGGGCAGGGGCTTTTGCGAATTGGCAAAGGCTTCGCTCGTCCATCTGCTCACCGCTCACTGTGATCTGTAGTCAGGAGAAGATTCGCCTTCTGCAGCCTTTCAGGAGAAAGGCCGTCTCGGTGCATTGGTAGATGGTTGCGGTAGGCAAGCTGCCTGTCCTGTCCAGGCCCTGCCAATTGTTTACGGTATGGCGACATCAATGTCTGGGATAGTCCAGCCGGCTCGCATAGTGGCATGCTGCGAGTGCGCAAACTTTAGCTTGACGCATCGAGAGGGACTCTGAGAACACATCTCGCCGGTTGTACTTGCGCCTTCCGCTTGTACCTGGGCTTTTCGACAGACCTTGTGCCATTGTGCAATGTTGTGAATGACTCCGGTGTCAGCAAAGCGACCTCAAAATCCGTGCCAGTTGTTTGCCACTGGCACGGCTGGGAATGACATGGCCAGAGACTCAGCTTGTCAAAGCTCCGGATGACAATGTTTCTCGAGCTGGTTTTCCGCGGTTTACTCAAGCGTTTATGAAATTTGGGGGCCAGTGCTCTGTGGAGTGACTGGAGTGGACGGAGTTGGGCACATGCCACGCCCCGCAAGGCAAGGTGAGAAGCTTTCTGCATAGGATAAAAAGTGAAGCCGGGGAGCACACGGCACGGCAGACGGCCGCCGTCATCGAAACCGACGGCCTTTGGGAGAGTGTTGATGTTGACCCACACACCGCTTGTCTACACTTTCTCGCACGCATTTCCTCTGTCTCCTGACTCCTGTCTCGCAGCGCTATGTCATCGGCGGCGCCGTCCTGACAGTCATTGCGGTGCTGTGTGCCTGGGAGCCTCCGACTGCAAGTTTTCTGTCGCGCATGAGCGATGCTGTGCTCGGAGGTTTTGCAAGGAGGGGCTTCGGAATGCTTTTGAGGTCTTGCAAGCTGGTTCACTGATCCACCCGGGGATGCTTCTGTTGAATGATTATTGCTTTGAGCCTCCCTCGCTCAGGACTTTCTTTGGCGCCTGGAGCTGCCCCTCAGCACTTGGGCCGCCACGTTTCAGGGCTTCGCCACCTCACTGCGTGAGCCTCTCCGAGCTGCCCCGTTTTCAGCCCATACGGTGACGACTCTGTCCGAGGCAGGTGGTGCAAGGCCATTTCGTGTTTCGAGACTTCAGGCGCCTTTCCGGCCATCCCACGACGCACACTGAACACCTCATTCAAGCTTAGCCCTGTATGCGCAGGTGGGATCCTGAAGATGTACATGGTTTTCTTGTTGTCTACAAGTCTGGACCTGGGTAGCTGCTTCCTCTGTAGCTGCAGTACAGTGGGTGAGCGTTGCAATGTGCAATCGAGCTGCAGAAACGAGGTTTCCCGGCTTACAGTTTTTCATGACTGGGATGTTCACCCTGTTTGTTTCGCAGAGCCCTGAGTTGCACGGCATGGGCGTCTGCTCCTTTCTAGCAAGCAGACGCGCTAAAAGCATGAAGGCTTCAGCTCTACATGTACACCAGTTCCTGGCCAGAGTGGAGCACTGCCGGGGAGCAGGCCCCTTTCTGGCTAAACCACTGCTGTTTCATGGCAGAGCGCTGCACAGGTGACAAGCCCGCTCCACTTGTCGAGCTCGTCCAGGGATGAGAGGGCGCGCTCTGCAGTCCCCAGTTGTGTTGCCGCTTGGATCTGCCCGGCTTCACTTCAAACTCTGAGGTTGACAGCCTCGATGAATCGAGCTTGCAAAGGAAACGAATTTGCAGGCTGGCTTCTGCTGCAGTGACCATATTTCTTCTAAGGATGTACTAAAAGCCGTCTTCGCAGGGGAAGCCGGTTGTGGCAATGGCTTCTTCTTCCTTCCTGCATGACCGCGGCTCAGAATTAAGCTCTCGGGATAGGCCTTCGGATCCGATCCCCGGCTGCATGAACCGTTGCTGCAATATCTGAGGTTTTGCATCGTCGTCGGTACCCACATACCGTTGATCCAGGCCATTGCGGAACCATGGTCAATCTGCTCGAGCTCTGAAGCTTCTACGATTCTACAGCTGTTTTCTGCTGGGTCTTGCGGGGTGCTGAAGTTGATGCAGACCGAATTCACCCTGCCCGACATCAAGTGGCTCCACGATGCAGAGGCCATTGAAAGGCCTGCCCATGCTCTGGTCGTATCACGCACTGTGTCTGGTGAGCTTGGATAGACAAGGCTCACAGTAACAGCACACACACAAAGTATGTCACACAGAAGAGATGGGCAATTCGTGCAGTGCTTGCAAGTCCTGTCGCACGGTGGTTCCAACCCTGCCATGGTTGCACTGCATGAATCGATCCATCTACCTTCCTGCCTACCTACCCACCCACCAACTTAGCGATCTATCTGTCTGTCTCTCTCGCTCTCTCTCTCTCTCTCTCTCTCTCTCTCTCTCTCTCTCTCTCCCCCGCTCTGTCTATCTACTTGTATCAGCCTACTCACCGTCTACGTATCTGCGTATGCTTCGTTACTTGCCTACAGTACTCATCTGCCTAGCCATGCATCCATCTGCTCATTGGTCTATCGGTCTTTCTGTTTGTCTAATCTTCTATCCTGTCTATCTGTCTGTTCATGTATCCATCTATATCCATGCATCCATCGTATGTGGTGTTGGCTGGACGGTACCCGATACCGCTGCAGATCTATTTTCCTGCTTCTGGAGGCGGTTGTTTTGATTTACATTTCAATTTTCGTTACCAAATCTAGATGTTGGGCATTCTCCCGTGAAAGCCCTATTGCCCAAGGCCTTGGTTCATGATCTTGTTTTCGGGACTCGCCACTCTGATTAAATTGGCTCTGCTTGTTTGAATCTTGTTTGAGCGGCTACAAGGCTCTCGATTGTGACAGCTATGTCGTGGTTAGGGTCTGCAACTCTGCTGTGTGGCACGGAGATCCGCCTCACGGCGTGGAAACAAAAAACAAACCAGGGAAGCATGCCAAACATCTGCGAGCGCCGTCGATGCTTCCGAAGATCAATCGTCATGATCAGCCAGACCCAATGCCAGGTTCGAGGCGAATCATACACCAGGCCGCTGCCCGAAGAGCTTGGATTTCACTTTTGGAGATTGCGTGTGCTATGTAAAGCGTCAATTGTCAGGGTATGGTCATCGATTTACCGATGGCGACGCGTACATCGATGTCATCACCTGGCTGTATGACAGGCGTTGCTCACTTTAGTCGTGCCTCTGAATTTCACGACCCACCGCCTTGCTTCGAGCGGCAGATCCTAATCAATAGAATCAATATGAAAGGGAAAATCTACCTCGTGTGCAGTCGGCTGCCTTGTTCGGCTTTCGTGGTCAGCTACAACGCCATGATCGTACACCTGGCTTGCGTTGTTTCGCTCTGATTTCAGAGGTGGTCGAGGCTAGGTGTTTTGAGCTATGCGAAGAGAAGCATGAACACATGTGGCTGTGTGAGCGCGACGAAGCTTCGGCATGGCTTTTTCGCAGCTTGGCAGAGGGAACTAGGTAGTTACTGTACCACCGACTGTTGCAGCAGTGCGCCTAGAAAATCCGTCTGGTCGAAGCTGCTTTGGCAGCTTCCGCCTGTCCAATTCCTTCTCTTCTTCTTCATTCTTCTCCGGCACGGAGCTCAGCACGGCCTTGCATTCAGCGGGATGTCGAAGCATGTCCGAGCCCGAGGCCGTCCTTCATCCCTGATGACCTCTATACGTCCATGCAAGCGTACGTGATGAATTTGGCCGGGTTCTTGGCATCAGCGGTGCGCTTGGAGGGACTTCCCAAGTCATCCAGGCCCCAATGCGCTTCACCCAGCCGTGCATTATGATGCCCGGAGCTTGGTTCTTTCCGCATGAGCCCGGACATGCTCCTTTTATCGTGCACCAGTGACAGCAGGCTCATCGTTGGCATAGCTAACATGCCTGGTCCTGGCGACACCCTCTTCGGGGCGCGCTTGTGTAAGTTCCATTCGCCACATGGTCACATCCAGAGGGGTTGGCTGGTTCCCACGAGCTGTGTAGTCAGATTTGCCGGATAGAACAGATTCCGGGGTCGTCCTTTCGAAAAGGCAGGCACTCTGAGTCTCTCTGCCACGTCGGTGGTATGTACTGCAATGACTGTTAATCAGTTAATCAATCTACTGGAAAACCTCTCGCATTGCACGACCGACAAAAGCCAAACACTTCGCACATTCATTCCTCGTGGTGCTTGAAGCCCGTCTTGTAGAAGAAGACAAGCCCTATGTGCGGTTTGTGTGCAGCAGTGCAGAGTCAATGTTCAGACTCAGACCCATTCTGAAGTCCCAAACGCTGCGCTTTCCATGTTGTTTGTTTGAGTTGCTTTGTGATTCGTGCTCGTTGACAGATCGCAGCTTCCTCAACTCCCGTGCAGTATCCTGGTCACAACTGAGCCATGCTTGCGCAGATAGCAGTGCTAGATGTCACTGCAGAACCACGTGCAATCAAGAATCCTTGATTATGCAGGGCTGGTTCACACATGGCTACTGGTACTTCATCTCGTGCCCGCGTGGGTAGTGCAAGAGAGGGTTTTGCGATTGCTGGAACACAGCTTGGGAGCCAACCAGGTACTGCATGGGAGCCATTTTGCTGGCATGGTCGGCCGGTTCCCGAGTTCCTCAGCCAATATGGGATATCTTCCTACGTTCGTGCGTCAGGTTCAACCTGCGGAAGAGGCACGCACAGCTACGGTTTTGTGGATGAACTGTGTGCCGCAAAGCTGACAGTCCTGCACTGCATGGCCCAACCCCTCACTTCCTGACAAGTCCGAGGACGGAAGCAAGTACTCGGTACAGGAGGATGAGTCCTTTCCTTGCGAGGTCGCGGCATTGAGCGTGCAAAGCTTGTTTATGGATCACAAGCTTGGCCTGAGAGGCGGCAGTTTGTGGCGACGATAAAGAGGTCATAGCACCTCTGCCGAACGGGAATGGCAGCGCGAATGGGTGCCTCGGCGCTGGAAGCATGGCATCTAGAGGCACACGATGAAAAACTTCCTGAGTCTGCAAGCAGGGTTCAACATGGTGACTCTTCAAGAGCATTGATGGGGTCGTGGAGGGCTCAGGCTCAGTGCTTCGCAACTTGATGATTTTTTCTTGCCCACAGTCGTGTATTCGTCCCAGGTACAGGAAAGGAAGCAACGGCCGGGTCATCAGCACTGCATCCGGATGCTAAGAACGTGACACGCAGCTGCGCTTGACGTGAACCTTTGTTCCACAAGTAACCGTTGCTGCCACAACGCTTCTTGCGTTGGACCGCAGGTGACGACGATTCCGACGAAGCGTCGGAGGCCGCATCTTTCAAGCGGAGCCAGCGGCTGTCCATGAAGTGAAAATAAGTCCTGCTTCCTGGAAGGGTTCGGAACCAGACGGAGATGCCCTGTCCACCAAACCTCTGGAGGTGGGGCTTAAGGGCACCCGGCCACTGACAAGTAGCTGAATCTCGATACCTTGTCGACTCTCTCTCTCTCTCTCTTTGTCCGCGTCTCCGTCTCTGCTAGTGTTTGCTCGATGAACGCCCTGTAATAGATCGACGGACAGCTGGATGCATGAGAGTTCAGAAGAATGGTGTGTTGTTTTCGTGCTTGGAGATGCCCCCCCGCCTTGAGAACAAGCTTAAGCGCAGTCCAGATGCAGCTAGTGTTTTCCAGCTGTGGAGGTGTCCGAGACACTCGTGCTGAGTTGGTGTGTGTCGATCGCAGCAGCGTGGGGGATCCTTGCAAAATCGTGTCACTCGCTGTGGTTGCTGGCTGTCAACTTTCTATCTAGGCCTCGTGCCGGTGCCGATTTGACAAACCTGCGCAAGTCTCGCAGCTTTCAGAGTTTTTTTCTGCAATGTTTTGTTTTCACGTTGGTGATCAGTCTGGAAGCATTCAGGCAATGCAGCCGTCCAAGGTCGCGCTTACGTAGCGTCCAGATGCGTCCAGTCTGTGCGGTCCGATAGACTGGATCTGCAAGTCGGACTCCACCCTCTGTTCCAGACACAGTGTCGCGTCCGGGTCCGGTGCTAAAAAAAAACAAGTATATACGAGTTGGAAACAACGTTGGTACAAGGCGTATCAAGGTGCATGACAACATGCGACCCACAGATGCAACAAAGGCGCCAAAAACTGCCGTTAACCTTTCCTGATAGTAAATCAAAAGCTTGTTTTAAGACGCGCAAAATGCCCGAACCTGTGTAAAAGAGAGCATTGTCCCAGCATTGCGATTAAAACATTAAAACAAAATGCGGACAGACACCGGATTGGATGCCTTAGCCAATTTTGGCTGCAACCGACAGCAGATTCTTCTGTTGTCTGGCCGTTTGGGGCAGTACAGCAGTAAAAATTATTCGAGTTTGCCGGTCAATGCCTGTGAATGCTCGGCGCCGACAGACGTTACAAGCCTGAAGCAATCCGTCCATCAACTGCGCGGCAAGTCAACGAAGCTGACCGTGTTGGTGTGCTCGGCATGATTGAAAGACAAGCTAAACGGCTACACGCATGCAGCGAAGCAATTCACCGTCGCCCGCGTCCGGCAAGGTCGCTGCATGTATCGTTGCTGGAAGCTTCATGGCCCCGCTCCCGGGGAGTTGCACCACCCTTGCCTTGCTGTTTTCGGGTCACGCAATGGCAGTCGCGCATGTCTCCCGAGTCTTTGTGCGAGTCAGGGGACGAGCTGAGGTTGGCTTGACTTATGTGGCATTGACGCGGACTTACCTGCACATCAACTACCGGATCTCAGGATCGGAGCTTGGAATCAGTGGGACACCACATGCTCTGATGCTGGCAGGGCGAGCTTAAATTTTCCACTGAGTATGCTCTGACTCGGCTTGCTTTCTTTGCCGCACGTTACCGAACTCGCCTTGCCTGGTGATGTGGCTCGCAGATTACAGGCCGTACAAATTAGTTAATCAAACCTAAAGAACGGTCCAGTGTGCGATCATCTGCGCCTGCAAGTGTGTTGGGCAATACCGCATATCACCTTTTGCGGTCTTCCGAGTGGAGGCCAGGATTTTTCATGCTGCCAGTACAGGACTGGTATGGTCACAGCACTACTTCAACCCAATTGGTTCATTCCCCCCTCCCCAGCTATCCCCAGCTGAGATACCCAGCTCATAGGCCCCTTGGGCCCTGGGCCAGTCTAGTCGTCCTGCAAGCCGGCTTTGGAGCCATGGGCGTTCCGACCTTTTTCAGCCCCTCAGCTGCAAGGGTTTTTGACAAAGGCTGAAGCAGTGCTTGCCGAGTTCAGACGGATTGGTCAGCATGTGGCGAATTCCTCCGAGGATGGATCTGCGTCCGGTACCCCAAAGTCATTCGAGACACCATCGAGCGAGAGCCGGTGGAGATGGACGGCCGAATGGTGCCAGTGGACCTAGACGAGGATGCCCACTCCCCAGCCACGTACACATTCGGACAAACTAAGTCAACTTGTGCCATCTTGAGCAGTTGCACTGGATCGCATTTTTTTTTTTGCAGGGGGTTAAATTTGCCTGGTCGGTGCCTTGCAAACCACTGCATGGCCCAGGCACCGAACGGCGATTTCGACAATCTGTACTTGGACATGAACGGTGGCCTGACAGCTGACAGCATGTCTAGATCAACCTTGAGTTGCACAGCCCAGGCCCAAAACTGTACTGTATTTCGTTTGGGCTCAGAGAATTTCAGATTCAGCATCCCCCTCGTAACTTGGACACTGCTCATCGTTTGGGAGCGCTGTCAAAAGCGGTGGCAGCTGTAGGAATCATCCATCCCTGCTGCCATCCCGAAGACGGGCCGGCACCAGAGGACGAGGAGCATATGTCACGAGCCTGCAGATACAGATGTGCAGTGAAGTGGGTCGTGAAGGCTCTACCGTTTTAGAGCTTCCATGTCCCAGTGCCGGGAGGTACGAGAACATCTTCCTTTATCTTGATCGCCTTTTCCGGATCGTCAGGCCCATTCCTGCGCCTGATATAGTCATGTTCACGGCATCATTGGACTCACAGTTCTTTATGGCCAGCTTGCAGGCCAAAGCGGCTCGTCTACATGGCGATTGATGGTGTCGCGCCGCGCGACGGGACTGAACTTTAATCACGCACCTTTCCTATGACAACTCAGCGACTTCCTGAGCAGCTTCAGGTGCCAAAATGAACCAGCAGCGTGCTCGTCGATTCCGGGCTGCACAGGACGGAAAGCCTTCCGACCCCTCTTTGCCCAGAAGCTTCTTCCTTGGCGGCGTTGTCGAGCAGCTGCGAACACCAGAAACTTGGAACATACGAAGCAAAATGTCCTGCGAAGCCGCTGTTGACTTCTGCAGGAGCGGGAGGAAATGGAGCGAGAACAGGAAAGGCTCCGACAAGACTGGGAGGCACTAAGCCGTCTGCGCATCTCCCCTGCACGTGTGCACAGCTGTCGTCTTCTTATGTGTGCCTCCGAGCTGCCCCGTCTCTGTCCTTTCGAATTCTAGGTTTCTGCTTGGTGGCCTACTCCTGCCTGCGCTCTCCTTGCTGCGCATGTCAATTGCATTAATTATGTTGCATACGCCCACAGTTTTCTGCTAAGCTCTCACGCCTGTCATGTCCGCGCGGAGTCCGCGCGTTCCGCACAGTGTGACATTCCGCATTAGCTCATAGTATCATAGGTGGCTTCTGCCTTCTGCATGCGGCATAGAAGGGGGCATGCGATGCAGAGTCATGCTCCAGGCAGAAGGGCGAACACTTCCCAACAGAACATCGGGAAAGGTCTTCGACTCTAATGCCCGGCGCCCGAAGCACTTCCACGGTACACCTGTTCCGAAAGTCAAGGGCATAGTGGCCGACTCGACCCAAGGATGGAAATGTGCGTCATGATCTGACAGCTTTCTGAGGTCATCACTCCTGGAACGAACTTCCTGCACAAAATGTCGGAGGCTGCCCGTGCCGTCACTAGCGCAAGCACTCGCCGCGGCTCAGATGCTGACGTCAGGAAAGAGGAACTGCACTCATGATTTGAGGGCTCTCACGGGCTGATGTAGCAGATAAGATGTGATCGGGAGGCTATCCGATACTACATTCACGACCGTGGAGCCGGCAAGAGTTGAGCCACAAATCTGCTTGAAGCGGCGTCGAGAGCTTCGCAATGGCATGTTGGTTTGTGGTCTCAGCAAGAAATCTGGAGGGGCCCGAAGAGCAGTTTTTCCGTCTCTTTTCCGGCTGACAAGACCCAAATGGCAGGCACAACAAACGATCCACTCTGGCAAAAGCTGAAGTTTCGCGTCATCCTCTCTGATGTGCCCAAACGGCACTGATCTGATGTTCGAGCTGCCAGCAGTCACCGCCAGTCGGTACTCTAGGTTCAGGACTGTTTCTGGACATGCTCTGAGTGCTTCTCAGGCAAACGTGCCAAGTACCTTGGCTGCAAACTCCGAGGGATGTGAGAGTAGTGGTTTAATTTGACCGTGGCGACAGGCCGGTGCTGGCCCGACTTTCAAGTCCATGTGATCCGTCCTTGCATTTCGACAGGCGAGGGCGAGCATAAAATCATGGAGTTCATTCGACTGCAGCGGGCGCAACCGGACTACGATCCGAACACCAGGCTGGAGGGGTAGGCAGGTTCTCCCACAGCAAAAGACCAAACACGCTTGGCAGGCACTGCCTGTATGGTGCCGATGCCGATCTCATCATGCTGGGCTTGGCCACCCATGAGGTGCCGGATTGCTCGTGCGTGTTTCGCTTTGGCGCTTTGGGAATGGCAACGTAGCCAAATTCGCGGGAAACGTTCGTCAAGCGTGAGACAATTCCTGGACTGCGTAGTTAGTCGGCTGGGCTGATCAGATCATGGGGCTTTCGGAAAGTTTCCCGCTCGGCCAGCTCGGTCTCCTGGCTGTTGGAATTTTCATTGTTCAACATGTGCCCGTGCTCCTGAGGCACACTTCTCCATCATTCGGGAGGTTGTGATCCCAAAGGCGGAAAAGAAGTGCACCCTTTGCGGAGGCTTTCCAGCTCTCCTTGAATTGACTCGCAGTTTAACAGTGGTGGACTCTGGAGCCCCAGGCACCGGCCACGTTGCTTCGGAGTGCACCGGCGACGGGGATGACATGGACGACAGCATTGCCATCCAGCTGCCCAGCTCAGTTGAGGTCGGAGACCGCCGCGACAGCTGACGTCCTGACAAATGAGGAAGCCCTTCCAAATCGTTTCCTTGCCTGTTTTGCGTCGGAACCTGAGCAAGCAGACTGCTACTTCACGCAAGCTGTCATCGCTACAGCGATGGGCAATGCAAGATGTCCGCAGGCCAATACCTTCAGCTGCAGTTCGCAGAGCTCGTCAATCGTATGCCAGAAACTCTATTATATGATTTCGAGAGGCGAGCAACTTCTGACTCTTCGATGAGCTGAAGAGAAGCGTGGCTTTCCTGAATCTGCCCAGCAGGTGTGTTGACGACTTTGCCTGGCTCTTAATTAGCGCTTGGCAGGCGCGTGGCCCGTTCCCTGCATTTCTCCCTGAGGTCTTCATGTGCTTCTTCGTAGGCAACGACTTTTTGCCGCATCTGCCATCCTTGAGCATCAGGGACGGCAGCATAGACCAAATGATCGCGCTCTATGCCCTTTGCTTGAAAGCGCACGGCTTGTCGATCGTTGCTCCTGTTTTCCTAAGATGACAACTGATGACAATCTCGGTAATGCATCACTTCAGAAGCATTCTTCGTAATGTTTGCGAGCCTTCAAGAATATGGTGCATGAAACTTAGCTAGTCATGACAGGAGCCAGGACAACCGAAGACGACAAATGTATTCATGTACAGTCTAGATTCTATCAATATCAACGTCCTGAGAGGGAAGCAGAATACGTGAGAGAGAGAGAGAGAGAGAGAGAGAGACACCTCCAGAAAGAAAGAGAGAGAGAGAAAGAGAGAGAGAGAGAGAGAGAGAGAGAGCTCGTGCAGCGAGCCCCACGAACGAGCAGTAGCCATTGGGGCGCGGAGAAGAGGCCGGGAAGCGGGCGGTTTAGCGTAAAGGGTGGGGCTCGCTACACGACAATCCGGGGCACATTCAGTAGTTCTATGCCGCGCTCTGGAACGACCCCAATGCCAACCACTCACTAAAACAGTGGGGGGGTTGGGCGGGCCTGAGGGTCTTGACGACCCCTAAGCCCAGCAGAAAGAAAGAAAAGAGCTCGCGCACGAGGGAAGGGGCCTGGATGCTGCCCTGACCCTCACGCCCCAGAGAGAGAGAGAGAGAGAGAGACAGAGGGACAGCCTTCGCCCAGAGAGGATGGGTAAAGAGGGACGACCAGACATGGAAGGAGGTGGCCCACCACGTAGGCCTCCGCGAGGAAGACGATGAGGAGGAGTGGGCACGCATACTAGCCAGGGGGCCCGGCACGCCCAAGGGCGCCAGGATGGGACCGGCAGCAGCGCAGGGGAGCCACCAAGCCACAGGGGACACCACCGACTGGGCGGAACTGCTAAACAGGGGCAACCTGCCACCGGGAAGCTTCCCGCCACGACCGACAACCACAACACGACAGCGAACAGCACAGCCGCAGCCACCGGACCCACGCCGACGCAGAGCAAGCTCCACCACCACAGCGACGACATCACAAGACAACAAACGAAGATGGGAAGGAACGCTCAACACCATGCTGCTGGCACACGGGGGAGGCAAAGTACCGCTCACCTTCCCCCCGGAACTCCCCTTGGCGGCACAAACGCAGCTACACCTACGAGCACTACCACACGGAGTGTGGGCAGGCATTGTCCTAGCCGCCGGTTCGACCCTGGCACCAGATTACAACCGCCAAGCAGGCATGGGCTACATGCGAGCCAGACAGACAAGGAGAGACAACAGTGCAGACCCACCGGGCCACATCGGCGTCAACACGACGTTCGCCCTATTCCCATGGGGGGAGATCACGGGGGGACGCCCCCAACGATGAGATTACCGCTGTAAGTCAAGTGCAAGACCCCACAGGGGCAAGCCTCAAGCCCGGCACAGGCTATGTGCTGGAATGGGACCCACAGCGAAAGATGTGGCAACTAGGAAACCTCGTGCCGAAAGCAGCAACACAGTACTACTATGACTGGGCATTCATGCGACAGGCGGGAATAGTCCGCAACCCGCCGCCGAGGCACTCCACCTTCCCGCCCGGGCAGTGGGAGCTCATGGCGATCAGACTTCTACCACAGCCACCAACACAACAAGAACAACAACAAGGGGGGGCGCAACCAGCAGCCGGATCAAACGCGCATAGCAGCAACCCGGCCAACGCACCAGCACCGGCACCGATGCAAGCAGTACCGCAGCCGCAAGCAGAGAGACCACCACCCACAGGCCCAACACCCCAGCCACAGCGCAGAGGAACCCAGCCAGAGAGCGCACAGAACATGACCAGCGAAGCAGAAATAGGAGACGAAGTAGCGCACATGCAGGCCAGTAGCACAGGAAGTAGCCAGCAGATAGCAAGCCATGGGGGACCGCCGCGCGATGTACACGCTGCCGACAGGGGGCGAATGACGACAGAAGCGGCCATGGCGCGCTTCTGGCTGAGGCAACTGCTCTCAGCCCTCGACAGCTGCCCGGGGAGAGACGTGACCAGGCACCAAGTCGAGGACGCAATGGACACGCTTGACAAGCACAGAGAACGAGGGCACAGCCAGAGTGCCATGGCAGGGGGATCCCGGGACGCGACTGTCTCGGTCCGCCGCCCAAAAGACGCCGCTACCTGAACTATGTGACAATAGCTCGAGTGCGTCTACAAGACCTTTCTGAAGAAGACGGGGAGAACGGCTTCAACCAGCACCAGATCCGGGCCGACCTGGAGACGATCCTGCAGTACCTGGACAAGGCCACCAGAGTCCTGGAGGAGATGACCCGAGGACAGGGGGGCTGCCAAATCAGCTCCAGCTACGAAGGCCTGAGCCAGGCCGGGGCAGCAGTGGAGACAGCACTGGGGCAAGCAGTTCAGGGGGATCTGGATTGGATGTCGCCAAGCTGGGGACAGACGATGGGACTCCTACTTGAAGAAGCCGAACAGCTCCATGAGGAACTGGGGGTGCTCAATTTCGTGCACCCTGCAGACGTGCGGGGACTCGACGAAGGTGGCGTCGAAACCCCACCGTGCCGCCAGGGAGCCGTCGGAGACCAACTCAGAGCCATTGTACGGGACCTACGGGGGATTGTGCCCTTTCTGGCGGAAGACGGGGAACAAGTGACGGCAGCGCTGGCAGCAGTGACAGCGATCATGGACAACCCCATTGAAGTGGATACACAAACCACTGAAGGGGGCAGCCAAGGGATGACACTCTTTGGCCCGACAGAGAGTGCAGACCACATGGGGGAAGAGAGGCCGACGCCCTTCTCCCAACAAGCCACAGTGCCATGGGTACCGCCGTTGCACATGGAACAATGGAATGGCAGTATCCCAGAAGATGACCGCGGTGACATGGGCCCCAGCCAACCAACAGAGCCTACAGAGGGGGAACCAACAGATGCCGAGCTGGTGGCCATCATGGAAGACCTCGAAAGACAAGAGGAAGCGGAAATGAGAGCAGCCGCGGCGGCCCAAGCCAGCCACGACGGGGACCAAGCTGGGGACACAGCGCTGGACCCGGAAGACGAAGCACCACAAGGGGGACTAGTGAGAGCCAGCAGCCATAGAAGACGTAGAATGCATGCCCTGCTGTACGATGACCAAGGGGGATTCAGACACCCAGATGTGTAGGCGAGTGATGCTGTGCCCACAAGTCTAGCTAAGCCGTCGTACAGCAGTCGGTGTGCCAGTCACACAGAACAGCAGTGCGGTAAGTGTGGTTTTGGCCCGGCCCTCAGAGTGGAACCAGTCATCTTTTCGTTGAGAGTGTGCACTTGTTAAGAGAGCAGAGGGGGGGCCGATTCTTTTTTACGCGGCACGAAACCCGGAAAACCCGAGAAGCAGGCGACCGACACAGACTCGGCGCTTTTCCTGCACTAAAACAGAGCAGTGCCGGAACATGGGGGAAGAGGCGCGAGGCCGGGGGATAGTAGTGTTCTAATGTTCTATGGGGGTTTGGTCGGAGCAAGCCGGCGCCTTTTCTCAACCATGACATTCTCACCAAACAGACAAGGACCAGTGCGCGCACGCGCGCAGGGGGGGTGCATGCCTCTCCTTGGCTGAGTGCAAGCAAGAGAGACAGAGGGAGAGAACCAACAAGGCAGGAATGAGAGGGCCTTGGCTCGGGTCTGCGCGCAGACCTTTCCCGGACGGAAGGAACGAAGACTGTCCTTGTGCGCCTGGGCGCAGGTCCGTTCGCGCGCATTCTTCCCCTAAGGAAGGAAGAAGAGACTCTCCCTGCTGACATCACACGTGCTTCTCGCTCCGAGTTTACTCCTACAGGCAAGGTGCGGGTGGGCTTGAAGCTCGGAGGATTTGATCGTCCCTCGTGCCCGGGAGAGAGAGAGAGAGAGAGAGAGAGAGAGAGCTCTCGCCATTTTGGCTCAAGTGTCCGCACCTTTGCCTTGGGGGACTGTTAACCGCACTCGTGCCGAGGGACGAGGTACGACAGTGTATGCTAGCGCTAGTATCCCTTTGGGGAAACATCGAAGGTGTTTCGCTAGAAAACGTCGAAGGGGTTTTCCTCTGAAGCTAAACAGAACGAAGCTTGTCTGTTTGCTAGAGTGACTGCACATGGCCGGTGAAGCAGTGCTACCCCGTGGCCATTGTGCTGAAAGGCCCCCAGCTATTGGGGGGCAAATTTCGAGTGCGGGGTAGGAAGGGGAACAGGGCTAATTAGCCCTGCTTTGAGTGCGCTGCCATGTCGGACAGCGACGCTACCCTGGCGCCGACCACGCCAGATGGCGCAGCAGCTACAGCCGTCGACTGCGCTACTGTGGTTGGGGATTCCCCGCCCCCGCTAAGTGGTTCGTGTCCTACCGAGGTACCCACGCTAGGGGGGGACGACACCGCGGGGGCTCCCTCCGGGGAGGTACCCTCGTGGGTCCCGCAGACCCCAGCTAGTGCCGCAGCCCGAAGAGACGGGGCTGCTCTTCGAGGGCTGGGAGATGGAGGCAGAGCTAGAGGCGCAGGCTACGGTCCAGCGGGAACGTAGGCGCACGCTAGACAGGGCCTACCGGCATCTCACCAGCCAGGGGTTTGGGGTCTTGGAGCTAGCGGTGGTGGACCTGGAC